GCCCAAACAGTAGGAGTAAATCCACCCCGAATGCCCGGAAACATCCCTTCGAACTTACATCGAGGATCACCAGCCAAGGCTCACGCCCTGACTGCCATACATAAATAAAGGAGACACCCCATCGGGTACGTTCTATAGCTACGGGGATAACCGTTCGACGGCCAATATAGCTCACATCGAAGGCTACATGGTTCACACGCATACTTTGATCATACCACAACAATAACAATTAATTAATGCATAGAAACTTTTCAGATAAAACCCACCTGGATGTAGAAAGAGGTATAGCCAAACACAGAGTTGAAGGAATTATGGAACAAGTTCAGCTCGAAGGACCTAACGTATTTTGGTTAGAATCATTAGGAGAAAAAAGAAAAGTTTTTCTTTTAGGAAAAGGATTCAGGAAAACAGGAGTCAAAATGCAAGAACAATTTATAATGACTTATCACAGACTGTCATATACAAAACAACAAATAAGGCACATATACTTAGTCGAAATCATATCGATTAAGTGACTCGTGGATTCCTTGACCGAGTTAGGTACTATGGAGTTACTACCAGACCTGGACACAATTCAAATACCTCATATAATACACATAAATCAGGCCAAAATTATTAAAATTCAATCCTAACCTAAACAACCGATAACCGAACATTAAGACTCCAAAATAAACAAAATTCAGGATCAGGAGTTAGGCTCAACCAATCAACCTGAAACTTTACCACATTATAAAGGATACAACAACACATAAACTCATCAATTTTCAGCCCTAAATTCATCCGGGGACATTTTTTAAATGATTTAAGCAAAAACAGCACCAAAATCAGCATTTGATAGATCACATATCTACAATTCTAATTTTAATCTAAAATTTTAACACCACCTAAAACATCATAAAATAACAGGTTCTTTAAAGTTTCAGCTCAAAACTCTAAGTGTACAACTTTTAGTGAATTTTACAAGTTTCTGACTAGAACCCGTTTTAAGCATTTGAACACCAAAAACTCAAAGATAAAATCAGGGACTTGGCACACTTATTCCACATACTCAGAGGCATGACATATAAAACATTCAGCTCAAACGGATAATGACTCGATTTATGGTGAATTTATTACGGTTCAACAGCATGCTCGGTTTAGAAAAATCATAACTCTCAAAATGCAACTCGAAACGACTTCAAACCAAAAATAAACAATTAAGGACAACTCCAAGTACCTAGAACTCCAGTATTTCCACGAAACGAATCACATAATATTCAGTTCAACAACAATTCAAAGTGACGACAATCACTTAGATATCCAATTTGCGAATATAAAATAAAATCCATACAATTACTCAACTAAGGCACGGATTTAAATTCACGAAGCACGTTTAACAACCATTTCACATAATCGAGCACATAAAATAATATATAGGATTAAGCGAGACGGGTCGAGCCTTGTACCGTTCTCGGGATTCGATGGAAAACGAAAACGAAGGGCGGAACGGCTATCTCGCGGAGTGGACAACTCGTCCGTTTGCGCCTGACGGAGCTCGCTGAAGGTCGAGGGGTAAGAGTGATGTCCCGCAGAGGAGCAGGTCGCGATGTCGGGTCGAACGAGGGTTGACGGCGTACAACGGGGGGATCGACCGCTTACCGCTGCTAACCCTTACGACAAAAGGTTGCCCGCTCTTATCCTCGCACGCTCCCGAAAGGCCACTGCTCGACGGAAAAAGGAATCTGGCCGCTGCTGTGAAGGGACGGCTGCTGCGAACGAGGGCCGACGAGGTGCCGCTGACGTTCGGGCTGCCTGCTGCAGCTCGAAAAGGAGGTTCGGTGAAATCTGAAATTTGAACAGGGGCTCGCTTACAAGGATTTCTCGACGTGAATGGATAGAACGAGGGCCGCAACTGCTTGTGGAGGTCGCCAACAAAAATTCATCTCGGCGGTACTGCTCGCGAGTGGACGAGGGACCTGCTGCTCGCCGTTGATAAAAACACGCGGCGGAGCAAAGGATCTGATGTCGCGGCGTGAGGGCTTGGCCGCGGTGCGTTGCTGCTCGAACAGGAAAAATCGCCGGAAGTCGCGACGGGGTGGCTGTCCGCGGAAAAGGAGGGCTGCTGCGATGGCAGAGGGCTTGCCGGAATTGAGAACAGCTGGAAGGTCGGACGAAGCTGCTCGTCACAACGGCCTGCTGCTGGCAGAGACGGAGTCGCACGGTGAAGAGGGTGTGTCGGAAATCACAGGCTCGGAGAGGAGAGAGCTCATCGCGAGAAGGTGGCCGGGGTCGGGGATGGCTTTGCTCGCGGTGGCGTCGCGGCGGAGAGTCGCCGCAGAGGAGGGGTTGCTGTGCGACGGGGCTGATTCACGGCGTTGCTGCTAGAATCGCCGGAGATGGAGCAATTGGTCGCCGCAACGGATGGCGAGGTTGAGGGACGATGAAGGTAAAGGATTTTCTCTGTTCTTGCTCAAATGCGATCGAGAAAAAACATGGAAAAAGGAAAAGACTGCGGGGATATGATTTTCTCTATACTGAAATCGCGAGCGAGAAAAAAAAATTAAGCTAGGGTTAAAAAGTCTTATACGCCCATACATACTTGGGCGGGCGGTTCGAGTCGGGTCTGACGGGCCGGGTCGCGCGATTCGGGGTTGGTTCAATGAAACAATTCGACTCTAGGGCCCGTCTAGACGTAGCTTCAATACAGTTTTTCTCGGGCCTGATAAATTAAATCGGAGTCGCGCTCAAACGAGAATGGTGCTCAGTGAAAGAAATAAGAATAAATCGTAGCCATTAGATCGAATGATCTAATGACTCAAAAAAAGTCAAAATTATACCTTAATTAAGAGTAATGTAGTAATTGTTCACACCTAAACAATATGACCCACATCATCCCACACAAACTCGCATGGGCCCCGCACCTCACCTTTCTCTCTCTTTCTCATTCCCCCTCCCTGTCTCACACACAGCTCACACCACCCCGTCGCACACACACACCCGTCACACACATACACACAGTAACTCTGTCGGACACACACACACACACAGTAATTCTGCCGGACCTCCTTGACGGCGCCATCGCCCCGACTCCAACCGACCCCGTGTCTGAGTGACGTCCACAGCCGCTAAAACCGCTGTCGTCGTCGCCGACATCCATGGCCGCTGTGACCCACTTCTCGTCGGCGCCACCATGGCCGCCGTCGGAATCCCGTCGTCGTTACCACATCGTCTTCCTCAGCCGCCTCGTCCAAAATCCGCTGCCACTGCCTTCCAGATCCAGCTCGACGATTCCCGGCGAGGCTGCCATCTCTGCCCTCCACGTCGCCGTATCCGCCCTCCTTGCCGCTGTTTCCATCCGCCCCGACACCGGCACTGACTGCCGAGGCCGAATAATGGAAACAAGCTGAGCACCAATTTTCAGAAATCAGAGGTTGGGAAAATTTAAGAAATTAGGGTTGGGCCATTTTTTGAGAATTAGACATGTGACTTTTTTTGCAAATTAAATCTTTTTAACTATATTACAATTTAGTTCATGGGTTAAATTTGTAAATTAATAAAAGTTGATAATTGCACTTTAATGTTCAATTCATTGCACAATATCACATTTGAAATTGTACATAAAAATACTCTCACCATAGATTGCACATTATTGATAGACACATTGCACATTATTATTCGCCAGATTGCACTTTAGCGCAACAGTGCATTCTACGCAATGACTAAAATACTATGCGTGAAAAATCAAAAGTCCACTTATTTACAGAAATACCACAGCGTGTTTGATTAAAGCTAGACCCTTTGACCGTGTCTAGAGCGTTGATATACCACATTAAATTATTTAGGTTATATGGATTCGATTTAATTATTTCGTTTCGGTTTTAATTTTAGATTTTCACATAAAAAACCCGAGCACAATATTATAAATCGTGATGCACAATAATGACTGTTGGATTGCACCATACTGTTAAACCAAAAGCACATTATCGGTGCATACCGCACGATAACGCCACATTATCAAAAACAAAAAAAAAAGGTTGATTTGTTATTGTGCATTTTTCACATATATTAAAAATTTGGTTATTTTGATTCGGTTTTGGATTTATTTACACAAGATTAAAAGAAAAAAAAAAACAAAAGAACAAAATATCCTATTGCACTTTGATTTGGGACAAAATAATAATAATAATAATAATAATAATAATAATAATTCAAAATGACAATTTGGTTGCACAACATCGACCAAAATAACCAAACGGCTGATATATATAAAGATATTACTATTCTTATTGTTATTAGATTTTTATGCCTTGCGATTGCACAATAAAATTAGACATGTTGAACTTTAATGATTATCTGATTGCACAACATCAACCAAACTCGACCGAACTAAAATTTTTATTCGGTTCAGATTTTTTATATTTTGGTTCGATATATTTCGGCGCGACATACTTTCTTATATTAAAAAACTTGATTACCTTGGTTTGATGTCAATATTTTTTTAATCGAAATAATCAAACGAACATTCTATTTAAAAATATTATCATTGTTACTATTATTATATTTTTGTACTTTGAAATTGCACACTTACGTTAAATGAAATGCACTTTATGACTAGTTGATTGCACAATATAGACCAAACTCAACCAAACTAAAATTTTCATTAGATGATTTGTTATTTGTATTTTTAATGTGTACATGCAAACACATTATTGTGCATTTTATAGTCCATTATGTGCATTTAGTATTTTTTTAAAAATTATTTTCGAATTCTTTTTTTTTTATTTGAAACGGCAGATTTAATATCACGAAGCCGAAATGTACAACCTGAGCTAAATAATCCAATAAAAGGTTCAAGAGGTATAAAAAAGAGAACCCAATAAAACGTGCACTAGAAGCCTACTAAAAGAAAAGCATAAAAAACAACTCCCGGTAGAGACTAGACAATGACACCGTAGAGTTGTATCTTTATACCTACACGGCCTAGTTGCAACTGCTATACAAAGAGAAATGAAAAAAGAAGACTATACATCATTATCAAAGCTAGAGAAAATAAAAGCAACAGGAGCGGAAATATCCTGCCCAGCAAAAGGAAGAAAATGATCACCAAGGTTCCCTGAATTCAGCAAAAGCACATCTACACAATCAACACTACTAAAGGAGACATACCCGCACAACACCACCAGCATCACTATCAACACCACAATCAGCACTGCTAACAAGCAGCCCAGCCTTCAAGCATCATCAAAGAGAAGAAGAGAAATCAACCACAGTAGCACATTTATACAACACTCAGGATATCAACATAAAAACCAAAATAGACACCAGCTAAGAACATCCACAGAGAAATAGAAGTCACACAGCAGAAATCGAAGAAAAATGGGGAGAGTGAGTGGAGCAATATTCAGATTTTCAGATTCACATGGACAAAATTATAAACATATATCAAATTTTTAAAAATTGCACAAAGGCCCATACACATTGTCTAATTTACAAAATCCAACCCAAATGCCCTTCAAATACACTGCCAAATCCCGGAACCACCATCGAGCCCGCCTCCTATCGCCGCCTGCCTTGTCAGCACCAGCCACCAGCGACGACGGCAACCACCGGCAGCCGCTGATCATGACTCGCCGGACTAGGGCCTAATAGGCTCCAAATTAAAAACCCTACAAAATCACCCAATTCTCACAATTGCCAACTCCCCGCCGGCGGAGTCTACATCAGGCCACCCCCACCGCCGCCAGCCCTTCTAGAACCACCTCGACGCCGCCGCTGACAACAACGGCAGACGACAACAGCCGCGACAACAACACCAAATCAGTCCGGTTTATTGCCTTCACCTTCTCCATCTTCACCGGACTGGAATCGCCGTGGCAGAGGGCTTGTGTCGGTGTGGTGGAATTAATTGTTGGGGGTTCGAGTGGACACCGGCGTCGGCAGATGGTATAGAGGCATCTGCGACGGGCGGCGGGCCGGAGCATCCTTGGTCGCATCCGTCTCCGGCGATGGTCTGTGGAGGCGCTGCGGCGGGTTGCAGAAGGGTGGCGACGGAGCTCCGCAGCTGAGGAGGTGACGTACCGGATTTTCTGTGTGTGCGGGGAGAATTGTGTGTGTGTGTGTGTGTGTGTGTGTGTGTGTGTGTGTGTGTGTGTGTGTGAAGGTGAATGACGAGGTAGGTGGAGGCGTGTAGGGTTAATGAGTGAGGTGGTGGGTCCCATTTTGTGTTTGGTTCAATTGTCTAAATTACTCTTAATTAGTGATAAAATCTATATGTTTGACCATGATATATATCTTTATTTACCACATTGTCATTAATGATTGACCATTATTTAGTAAAGTTTGACTTGATCACCACCATTGATATCATGTATCCAATGGTTTAGATTCATTCTTATTTCTTTCACTATCTACCATTCTCACATGATCCTAACTCTCTCTCTCTCTCTCTCTCTCTATATATATATATATATATATATATACACACACAATTAAATTTTTAAAAATAATAATACTAATAAAATACAAATATACATTTTTAATTATTCAATAATCAAACGGGGCATTACAGTCTATCCTCCTTAAAACATTTCCGTCCTTGGAAATGCGAAAGAACACACATCAAAAAGGAAGCGACAGACTCGAGCGGGGAAATTTTCCAATCACAAGGGCCGGGTATCACCCTCCAGAACTCGATTTCGCTCCCATGAGTCCTATCGCCTTATACTCGAAAGGCATGTACTCACATACAGGAACCAATCCGACTCGCCCTATGCTCATATGTTTACCTTCTTACTTGAGAGGGTGATCAGTCCTCCCGAGCTCAGGCATACATTTTCTTGCAAGGGACCCAGTTCGGTTTAGCCTATACTCATGAGTATCAACGACTTGCTTTGTACCTAACAACACACAAGACCTTGACAGGTCGTTCAGTGTATTGTCAGCGTACTCCGATTACCTCACCATCAAGGTGGTCACGTGACGCCAAGTTTCAGTCTCCTGCCCGAGTCACACTGATAACTTGTTTACGATTTCATCACAGACCGTGCGTCTCCATCCGAGACCACAACATGGTACCACATACATAAAACACGACACCATCAAGCTCACATTTTCATGATATCGACTCCACGAGACGAACGCAACCCTTATGCACAAACATAAGGCTCGACCCAAAGCAACACGACATTCTCAATTTGCTGACTCGAGAAACTCTCAAGTAAAGCATAGGGACTCATCGACTACACTCCTTAATCAGAAATCATCGATTAAGGATTTATACACATCTTAGTGGAACTTGGGGCTCTCGGTTTAAGGTTCGGGGTAACATAAATAGCTCAGCAAAAACTGGTCCATCAACGAAATGAATCGGAGGTTCGGGGTTAGTGTACTGTGACCCAAGAGGTGGCACGCTCACTGGCCCTGCATAAGCGGGGCGCTGGGACGCATGCGTACCCACCTACTCGGAGACCATCTGTAAGGTCGAGGCTTGGCCGCACACGCTGGCCTGGGAGTTTTGTGCGTTCGGTGATGGCGGCTGCAGTTCGCAACTCACTTCCCAATCGTGTCAGTAGTCCTAAATGAGCGCAACTCACTTCCCAATCTTCACACTTTGGAATTTGAACGCGAGGTTCCTCCCGGGATTCCGAAAGGAGTAAAAGAACAAAAATTTTTACGATGAACAAGATTTAGATTAAGGACGGGTCCGCACTACGCGATGTGCTTGTTTGTGACTCGTCTATCCTCCTTAAAATGCTTCTGCATAATCTTTTAAGGTGGAAAATACTCCATCTTCCTATCAAACCGAATTGTGCTAGCTTCAACTCCTGCACGTTTATCCCGATGCGGAGCGTGAATAATTATCGTCCCCCTCGAGGTTAGGTTATTCACAAAAGTGGCGATAGAAAAATTTTGCCCTCGAGTCTTCGTGATATATTAGCGACGGCATTCGAATAAAACTCTCATACTTCGCAAGAGAATAAAGATAAGCAGAAACAAAGGGATGCTTAATCTCACTTGAAATCAGGTTTTTCAAAACAAAGTCAATTCCTATCATAAGATAAACCAGAAATAGCTAAACTTTAAAAGAAGCAAAATTTTAAAGTTGGGAAGCTTAAAATAGTTTACCCAGCGAATCAAAAGTAGTGGAAATCAAACGAAATCTTCAAAATACGGAAATCGAATTAACAAAAAGAAGCCTCAAGCACAATCCGAAATTGTTTGCCATGATAATGGGAAAAGGTTCACAAGAGTATACAAGACGACAAGAATTTAAGAAAGAAAGCACGACAGCTTCGCCTTCACGAGTCCACGATTCACTGTTTTCATTATCGGTTCACGTTGTTCCTGGTAAGTCCCGCTGTCACTAGAAATCGCTCGCGGCTCAAAATACGGAAAAGAATTTCGCAAATGAATAGGTATTTATCGTCTCTCTCGAGGCCTAGCCACTTTCGAGAGTCGCGACAGTGTTACGCATTAAGTTTCCCCAACACTCCTCGGGGACGGCCATTAAGTATGCACAAGGCACCCAGACTCTACTCCAGATCGCACTCGACTGGGGGTCAAATACACATTTAATGGTCTTAACAAATATGGTTACAGACCTCCGAATATCCCACACTTGGGACTTCTTCGGTTGTCTGCTCCCTTCGTTTAAACCTTCTCCTTTCGAGATGGCTCGCGAATGGTCCTCTTTGGAAGACACCAAAATACATTGAGAGGACTGTCATACACATAACTCAGATCGATAACACCATATCAAATTTCTAAACAAACAAAACCTCAAGTTAGAACTTAACTCTATATCGCTAGAGTTCAAATTTATACAACTAAGGTTCGCCACTCATCTAGAGTTCTAGAACATTTAAAAAGTAGGAGGATAAATTCCTAAGCCCCGGTTTCATTTCAGTAATCAATAACCAATCAATGCACAATAATCTTAAATCATTCAGGTACTCGTACCTGAGCTGGCGCGGCACGGCCAGAGCGAGTCGTCATAATATGCGGTCAAAACATGTAATCACATAATTCACGTCACCAGTCTACAGAAACGCAGACTGGCTCTGATACCAAACTGTAACGCCCCACTTTTGTTTGCCAACAATCAGAATAAATTTTTCAGATTTTATTTCAAAACACTTGAGGCGCCACTCATTTCCAGAAACAATTTCAACAATATCATAAATGCAACTCCCAAACGGGTTCAATATTCATGCCAATACCTAAATCGGGTTCAATATTCATGTCAACACCAAAACTGGGTTCAATATTCATGCCAACACCCAAACCGGGTTCAATATTCATGCCAACACCCAAAACTGGGTTCATCAAATTCATATATACTAGGGAGTACCCTCCCTATCAATAATCCGAAATCCAACGTAAATCAGAAATGCATGAATAATACTAAGCAGTTTATGCAGCGGAAATAATCAGTAATATGACCACCACTCGCCTCCCTCTGTCGTGCCCGCAAATTACTAACCTGCATCCATGAAGAGCAGGTGGGGATGAGCACAATAGGAAAATCGAGGTGCTCACAACTATGCAATAATTAATATTCAAATTTATAAAATAAAGCAGGTATGGTCGCAGTATGAACACAAATCAATTAATATCCCATCTCCTTCCCAGAGTCAACTCTCATTTGCACACCTATAACAATAGACCACTGCTGATACACATATCGAAAACCCCCGCGGGCCTTACATTCGATGCCCAGACAGTAGGAGTAAATCCACCCCGAATGCCCGGAAACATCCCTTCGGACTTACATCGAGGATCACCAGCCAAGGCTCACGCCCTGACTGCCATACAAAAATAAAGGAGACACCCCATCGGGTACGTTCTATAGCTACGGGGATAACCGTTCGACGGCTAATATAGCTCACATCGAAGGCTACATGGTTCACACACATACTTTGATCATACCACAACAATAACAATTAATTAATGCATAGAAACTTTTCAGATAAAACCCAACTGGATGTAGAAAGAGGTATAGCCAAACACAGAGTTAAAGGAATTATGGAACAAGTTCAGCTCGAAGGACCTACAACAATTTATAATGACTTATCACAGACTGTCCAATACAAAACAACAAATAAGGCACATATACTTAGTCGAAATCATATCGACTAAGTGACTCGTGGATTCCTTGACCGGTTAGGTACTATGGAGTTACTACCAGACCTGGACACAATTCAAATACCTCATATAATACACATAAATCATGCCAACATTATTAAAATTCAATCCTAACCTAAACAACCGATAACAAAACATTAAGACTCCAAAATAAAAAACATTCGGGACCAGGAGTTAGGCTCCACCAATCAACCTGAAACTTTACCACATTATAAAGGATACAAAAACACATAAACTCACCAATTTTCAGCCCTAAATTCATCCGGGAACATTTTTTAAATGATTTAAGCAAAAACAGCACCAAAATCAGCATTTGATAGATCACATATCTACAATTCGAATTTTAATCTGAAACTTTAACACCACCTAAAAAATCGTAAAATAACAGGTTCCTTAAAGTTTCAGCTCAAAACTCCAAGTGTACGATTTTTAGTGAATTTTACAAGTTTCTGACTAGAACCCGTTTTAAGCATTTGAACACCAAAAACTCAAAGATAAAATCAGGGTCTTGGCACACTTATTCCACATACTCAGAGGCACAACATATAAAACATTCAGCTCAAACGGATAACGACTCTATTTATGGTAAATTTATTACTGTTCAGCAGCATGCTCGGTTTAGAAAAATCATAACTCTCAAAATACAACTCGAAACGACTTCAAACCAAAAATAAACAATTAAGGACAACTCCAAGTACCTAGAACTCCAGTATTTCCACGAAACGAACCACATAATATTCAGTTCGACAACAATTCAAAGTGACGACAATCACTTTGATATCCAATTTGCGAATATAAAATAAAATCCATACAATTACTCAACTAAGGCACGGATTTA